CCGATGGTGATGGTGTCTTCCAAGACGACAAAGCCCCTGTTCACACAGCTCACATTGTCCAGGACTGGTTTTCTGAGCACGAGGATGAGTTGTCCCATCTCCCCTGGCCACCACAGTCAGCAGACCTGAATATTATCGAACCTTTGTGGTCTACATTGGAACGGAAAGCGCGTTCTCGTTATCCACCGCCAACATCATTATCTGAACTTGCCACCGTTTGCAGGAAGAATGGTATAATATTCCCGTGGCAAACATACAGGAACTGTATTTATCCATTCCGAGAAGACTGCAAGCTGTTTTGGATGCCAACGGGTTTCCTACACCATATTAAGCAAAGAAACATGTTTTTTTAAAGGTGTTTCCATATTTTTGTCCAACCCTTGTATTTCACCTTTTGTATTGGAAGAATTACAGTATAGTAACAAAATAGTAAAACTAAGTTAAACTGCATAATATAAGAGTTAAAATAATTTAGGCAAAGCAACAACCTCCTATTTGGCATATATTTTAACTAAGATTCTATCAATTTCGAGGCCAACAGCTGCAGGTCCCTCATCACCAGAAGAAAAGAAATTCTGCAAAGAAGGAAGCTGTATTTATATCAAAAGTAAAACAGTAAATTAATGGGGATGTAGGGCCATCTGCCCGTGGTCTTCTCTTCTCTCTTGTTAAATTAATTGCTTCTCTCTTGTTAAATTAATTGCTGTATCTCGTGTTAAATTAATTGCTTCTCTCTTATTAAATTAATTGCTGTATCTCTTGTTAAATTAATTGTTGTATTAGTCTTTCTCTTTTATTTTCCTCTAGTTCACACTGAGCACCACACACAGTTTTATTCACATGCATACATTTTATGATAAATAGCCTAAATAAATATGAAAATTTAGGGTTAAATATTTTTTTATTTATCTGATTATGGCAAAGTAGAGAGCTATATGCCTACGAAGAGGGACGCCTTCATAAATAGCTTCCTAGAGAAAACTGGCTCGTATCATCCACATTATACATAGGAGAAGCCACGAAAACACTCAAGCTGCTAGTCCATTCTTTGGGTTTTTGACTTAGTTCAGAGCTTAGATTGGGTTTTCTCACTGATTGTTGAGCCACTGAAGCTCCAAAAATTAGAACAGAGGCAGGCAGCTGTCTACAAGACACGTGAATCTTACTTATCACAATGTTGTTCATTTTATAGCAGATGCACATAATAGACTGGCTTTAAAGTCATTGCATTTATTTGTATGCATATAGCTTGGAGATATATTCTCAATGGAAGGACACTTCTGTTTCTGTAAGATTCCAAACAAATTATTTATAATTGAAATGAACATTATTAATAGTTATATGGCAAATGGTATCTTTCTGCACTTCCAAAAGTTTACTGATTTTTTTTTTTTTTTTTAAATCGGAGCAGTAATTTGAAGAACTGAATGTTAATTCATTCATTTGCTTTCATTTAATCATTCAAAAGATTAACATTAGGTATATTAACCTCAGGATTATTATTCACAGTAGGAAGGTTAACAGAGTACGTGAGGCTAGGAAACTGTGATTTCATATTTGCCATATTTCATCTAATATTTGTATTTATAAAGAATGAGCCTCTATAGGGCAGAACCATGACAGTGGATTCATAAATGTGGATTCACTAATAACTGTGATATCATGCATATATATAGTTATTAAGTTGTTTCTAATGCTCACTTGTCTGACCTATAGTCAGCCCAAGCCCAGAAAATCCTCGTGGCAAGAAGAGCAAGTTTACTCCTATTGTTGGCAACAGCCTTGAGCACCTTATAGGTGCCAGTGCAATTTAACTCGGTTCCGCCACCAATTTTGATGGAGAGCACCCCCGGGGGGATGGATCTGAGGCTTTCCCACGCCTCTTTCCCTACCATCAACTATCGGGAAGGCTATCGGCTCGCCGCATATTTAGAGTGCCCCCATGTTGCACAGACACTATACATTTACAAACATCCATGCCTTCTCTGAGATTCAAACTCCCGGCCCTTTTGCACGACAGTCAGCGACGCAAACAACTATACCAGTTGGGCAGCACAGTTATCAAGTACTTAGCAAGTTTGAAAGAGGATAAGTTGTGGGCACACAATGAATAGATCATGGTATTTCTAGATTGTCTCAAATATTCATATTTTCTTCCTTGTTATTCTATCATGAATGTAGCATAAACACAAAAACTGGTACGAATGAAAGCTAAGATGGGATATAAAAAATTGCTAATGACAGTGCTTTATGCTATTTTGCATATCTTAGTTTTCAGATAGGACATAGTGGCACTGATCCGTAATTGTTAACAAGGAGGCCATCCAGTTGCACCAACTGAAAAACCTGCTGTTCTCTCACTAATGCAAACTGAATTTCTGATATCACAGTTACTACTAAAATCATATCATAAAAGTTTGGGCTCAATTGCAATTAAACTGAATGTTGGTCGCTTGTATACAAGAAATTTAATCAGGCAGGTTAAAATCCCAAATGTATTGAAGCAAAATCTAAGCTAAGTAACAGTCCATGAATAAATAGATCATATTAGCATCTGATTACCATATAGCAGAAACTCAGCAATTATGTGGAACATCTTTAACTAATACAGCTTGGGATGATTAGTACTTCTAACGACATGTTACATATAGTTTATTCTACACATTTGAGAGTTCTTAAATATATTTGTTTTCAGGTGAAATTTGATTTTAATAGTTTAATTGCATATTTGCCAAGGAATGTAATATTACTTATGACTGTAGCATTACTTTGTGTGTTTTCATTGTACGTCTTGCCTACAAAAAAATTGGATTATTCTATATCTCCCGTTCTACTAGACCGATTGTCGAAATTTAACTTGTGATGTCTCGAAAGCGTGACTTAGGATACATATTATACAGTCAAAAGTCGTTAATTCGGACACCCATAATCTGGAATGATCTATAATCCGGACCTCAAAGCCACAAACTGCGCATGTGTCATGTTTACGCATGCGAGTAAGACCTTTACGGCTGCGAATATGCGTGTGCGCATGCTCAAAATATGTTTGCGCATGTGCGTTTAATGTATAACGGATGGTATAAGCTAAGCTAAAATTATCTAATTCAGTTAATGTTGCAGATTGTGTTGTTCCTTAATCTTCGAATTGGATCCGGCTTATCATTTTTTGCAGGCTGTTAGAGCAATTTTATAAAAGTAAGCTTGAACTTTTGATTATGTCAAATAGAATTTCCGATATATATTTACTAATATGTAAAGGATCTACAAAGCGAAAGTATGTTTCGAAGTCCATTAAACAAAAAGTGGAATTGCTGCAAAAAATGGGTACAGGCATATCCTTTGTTTATCTAACTGTTCTGAAATCTTATCCGTTATCAATTTCACGCTGCTCTGTGGCGGGGGGATGTCGCGGCGTGCGTTGAATTGGAAGTTCATCTGTCAGCACTATCCTTATCTTCAAGGCAGATGTTTTTATTTTATTTGGCTTATAATTCCTTACTAAATGTAGTATTTCCTCTCGATGTACTCCGTCTTTGATATGATTTAAATCAAATTCCTCGTCATTATAATTCGCTTCCGATAGCGAAGAAAGTAAAGTAAACAAATATTTTTTTGTTTTTTTTTTTTTTTTTTTTTTTTGTAAATTTTGATACCCTTTAGATCATAATTGTTCTTTATTTCATAAATTACGGTTTCATATTTTTAATCTTATAATTTTTGCATGCCATCTTACCAGATTTAAACTCATGATCTATAATCTGGAAAAATCGATAATCCAGAATCGCCGAAGTCCCAACGAGTCCGCATTAACGACTTTTGACTGTATATAGCATTGTTCTAACATAGGTATTTTGACACAAAATCGAACTTTTTCAGAAATGACGTACCAGTTTTTTCCATATTTCGATTCCATGACTCAAATTATGCCAAAGTGCCAAGTTTTGTAAAAATCGCAAGCTCATGTTAATTCAATTTGCTATATATTTATTAATATCTCTTTTTTTATTAAACTTATTTGATTCTTTGAAAATTTAGGTCCATTCCAAATAAAATTCACCCATTGTTTAATGATTTATTTTTAAAATTTGTATTTTGAAATATTTTTTTTAAACATTTTTAATTATAACCTATAAATTACCATCATCTTAAAGAAGATGCATTTCTAAGTATACCTGCAAAAAATTAAGTTTTTTGTTTTTCAAAATTTCCTAAGATAGACGTGAATTTACACTTTGGCACATTTTGAAATTTGGTATATTTCTTATAAGCAATAACACCACATTGCGGTTAACATACTTTGTTAAAATTATTTGAAAATAATGAACGATGACCTATTTTCCACTCGTGTTCAATGAAAAAAAGGAAAGGAAAATATATTGCTATAAATTAAGAAGTTTGCGAAGTGAATTATTCTTGTCGTAAACTGAAAAAAATGTGCCAAGATATTTTTTTTTTAATTTTGCCATAAATTTCTCACCAAAAATTACAAAATTTACTATCTAGGCATAATTTGAGTTGTAGAATCGAAATATGGAAAAAATTGGTGTCTTATTTCAGAAAAAGTTCGATTTTGTGTCAAAATACCTATGTTAGAACAATGCTATATATAAATCTAATATATATTTTAAGTCGCGCTTTTGAGACATGGAAAATGCAAGTTAAATTTCAACAATTGGTCCAGTAGAACGGGAGACATAGAACTGCCCGCCCCCCTTCTTTTTTTTTTTTTTTTTTTTTTACAAGTTGTATTAAGATATAGGTTGATGTACTTCACAATACCAATTTTATTTTGCTTTTATTACACAGGCACTGACATGCTGAGTGTATGCTTTATAGTTTTGTATACTCCAAATATATTGTTTTGTATAGTTTGTTTAATGTGCTATAGTTGTAATTTGCTTTAGATATTTTGAGTTTCTTGCAAACCATTTATTAATAAAAGAGACAATTTAAAACCTAATAAATTATGATTTGGTTAATCTTCATTTTTCATATTTTAGGATCTTTTGAATTGGTCCATTGGGTGGATTGATTGGAATTTAGTTTTGGATATGCAAGGAGGTCCAAACTGGGTGAAAAATTTTGTAGATTCTCCTATTATTATAAATTCTTCCACCAAAGAATTCTATAAACAGCCTATGTATTACATTATTGCACATTTTAGGCAAGTACTTAAAAGTTTTTATTGCATGAAAAATTATTATTTATTGCATGAAAAATTATTATAAATGTAAAGTTCATCTTTTGATGAAAATGTTTTACAGCAAATGTTTGCCAAGAGGTTCATATCGTATTGGTTTAGATGTACCCAGAGATGCATATAAAATACAGAAAAATTTCGAAATAGCAGCTTTCCAAACACCACAAGATAAAACTGTTATTATTACTGTTAACAGGTATGTGATTTATTTTAGTTAATAACCATTATTTTCTAACATGTATTTTTATACATGGCATTCAGTGGTAACTAATTGTGCTTAAAACAATTATCTGTGCTTGAATATATCATATTTTCTAAAGGGGCACTAGTTTCATTTTGGAGGGATTATTCTATGTATGAGTAAATTTAGGAAAGCATTGCATAGTTTTTCATTTATTTCAACAAACCCTGTAATATTGTTAAACGTCCCTAATAAGTTGCAGTCTAGGTTTAAAATTGATATGGAAATCTAAAATTTGTTTTGTGGCTGGTTACTTAATAAATAAAAAGCATATTAAGTTTGGACTTTAAATCAAATACAATTGGACAATTTTTGTCGTGTGATAGTCTATTTTTTTTTTTTTTTTAATTTATTTTTTAGAATAAAATAAACTCTAACTATATAGATCAGGATATCGTATAAAATGTTAGGTTTCATAATTTTTACAAAATTGATTTTTCAAATTAAAAAAACTATAACATGAATATTTTCCTTGTTTAAAAGCATTCCTGTAATTGACCAACAATTACAAAAATAAAGACCATGTAATTACTTTTATGTATATGATGTGTAAGACTGTACAGTAAAAGCTTGACTATCTGGCATCCACTTAACCAGAAAGTTCAAATAATTGGACTATTTGAATATTATATACTTTTTTTACCTCTGAAAATCTAAATGAGAGACTTGAAAAGCTATTAATGCACATATAGGATTTTGCCACCAATAATGGATAAACATGATGTCCCAATACAATCACAAGACCTTCATCCTGGTTTTAAGTAAACTTTATTAATGGCTTAATTTATACAGGCATTTTCTCACCAACTCTGTTTTGACTTGCCAAATGACAGACAATGCACCATTTATGGCAGCCTTCTACACATCGATAATAGAACACAAGAAGGTGGTAAAATTTGCTTATGTTTGTTACATGCTGCGTTTCCTACAGCCCCTCTCATTTTTCATTTTTATTATTATTGTTTTTATTAGTTCAAAGAGCATTACTCCAGAAGGGCTGTTAATTTCGTTTTTTCATTTTGCATTGAAAATTTTAAAAGGCTGTATCACTTTTCAAATTGTTGCCACCAAATATTATCACCCTGTGTTACATTTAAAGAAATTAAGTAATGAACAATATGCATAAATGTATGTATGTTTCTCACATTGTGATAAAATAAGGTACTTATAGCCATCAAATTTTGAATAACATAGTCCTCCACCCGAATATGGACATCTGGAAGCCCTAATTTGGAATTTGTTTTATTACATGTTTCCTATTTTTTAAAACTTCAGCGAAATTTTTATTAACAAACTCAACGATTTCAAAGCGAGCAATGGCAACACTGTACGAAAAAACACTTTTATCTCCAGCACACGAGACTGTGTATTGGAAATTCTAAAGATATGCTCTTTTTAAATTATTTTGTAATATTGCTGTTGAATTGAATTTTGTGGTTTAAGTGCAAAAAAATGATATTTAATAAATAAAGGTAATACACAAAACGTAAGCCCCTTTGAGCATAACTATAAAATTTGAAAACTTGCAGATTTAAAAAAAAAAAAAAAAATTCCTTTATAGAAGCTGTTCCTAATGGAATATTCTCAAACACTGATAAAATTGTGTTCTGCTATTTACACATTCAATAACACAGCAAACCCAAGTTTAACAACAATGGAATATCTAATGTTTAGCTGCTGCGTGAAAATTCTCCTAGCTACATTTGGTTGCTGTGTTAATGACTAGCAAGAGTTTTGGCAATGTTTACCATTGATAAAAATAGGTTTACTAATTTAGAAGTCAAACAACAAAAATCAGTGTTATATATTCAAATTTTCACAGGACTAGTTTCGATGGTTTTACCGAACCATCATCCTCAGCTGCAAAAGCGCAAAGATTTTTGCATTTTTGTGCTTTTGCAGCTGAGAATGATAGTTCAGTAAAACCATCGAAACTAGTCCTGTGAAAATTTTAAATATAACACCGATTTTTGTTGTTTGACTTCTAAATTAATATTTGTTCAGCATGTTATTGTATCTTAAAAATAGGTTTATTTACAAACTGTTCTTTGTTAATTTTCAATATGCCAATTGAATTTTAACTGCTATTTATGTTTTTTTCATTGTATCTTGGGGGAAAAAATTATAAAAATTTGGGATGTGCCTTCAATGAAAGAGCATGCAGAAGAGTATTTTCAAAATTACCGGATCCTGGCATAAAAAAAGCTGTAATTAGCATAATATGCAACCTTATTTGAAAATGGATAAACACTGGCTATACAAACACATGCAATTCCAAGTTTACTGTATGTTACAATCTGTAACTTATGTATATGTTGATTATCTAACTAAGCAAACAGTGATCTGTTGGTTCTTTAAACTTTGCTGGAATGACTAATGCAATTTTGACAGGATCTCCATCAATTTGCACGGTCGATGAAATTTCACAACTGCATGTTTTATTTTTATTGTAGTATATTGACTGTTACATGTGAAATGCACCTTTTTTCGAAATCTTGTGTAATTTAAATGTAGGCTTTTGATATTCAAGTTGATAACAAATAAAATTACTCTTTTTGTAATTTTCTAGACCAGAAATGTTTTTCATTCATATGGCTTTTCTACCATGGATTGCACTTTTTGTAGGCTGAACCCTATTTCTCAAGCTTTTCAGCTAGTTGAGCTTTTACTGCATCTAGCTGTTGAATAACAGTGTGTCAAATTTTATCTTTGTTATCATGCCAAAACTTACATTTTATTTGAGTGGTATATGATTCATTTATTTTATTATTATTAATAGTAGTAGTATGTATGTGTATTTATAAATTTATTTTTTGTTTCATTAGTTTTTAAATGCATAATTAGTTAAAATTGCATACAGTGTATTTTACATGGTCTTGCTGGATTTTTTTTTTTTTTTTTTTTTTTTTTTTTGAGTAACATTTACTAAGTTGAAAACGTATCTCAAATGCAATGCTATAGAGCAGTTTTCTGTAGCTTGAGGCATGAGAAATGGGATATTAAAAGATACATGTTTGGTTAACATAAAATTGAAACTTCCATTTAAAATCTGGTGCCATATGTGCCTCACCAGTCACCTAATAGCTAAAACTGCTAAATGTTGGGAGTTCAACCTGTGTTTGATCCTAAGTGGGCTAGTGGCATGGTTGATTTTCAGGATTTCCTCCATGTACAATATGAATATGAACCAGTTTCCCTTAACAAAATCCTCCATAAAGGCATTTCTCTCCTCCACATAAATAGCCATCATTTGCTTTACCATATTCAAGTAACCTAACCCATAAGACGAAAATATGTCTACATTATGCAAAAATTATGTTAATACAATTTATTAATTACAAATATTAAGTATTTAATATTGTTTATAAATAATAAAAAATTCCCTTAATGTATTTGGTTATTTTAAATATTTTGTATATTTAACTATACATGTTCTGAATATCAATTCATTTCTTCTTCAGAAATATTTCACACCTTCAAATAAGTTTTTTTTACAGGAAAGATGACCCCATACAGTTGGTTGTACAAGATATCAAGAAAGGATATCTTAATATGACAGTGAATGCACATTCAATTCAAACTTACATTTGGTAAAGCTACAAAACAAATTAATTTAGTTTTCAATTTTAACTCTTGATTTTCCTTCTGTTTTTCTAATAGTCCCAAAAATAACTTCTAATAATTATAAAAAGTAAAAAAATACTTCAGTATAACTCTACCTAAATCCAAGTTTTTCTATTTTGACAATAATATAGTTCTCATAAGTATTATTGTAATTTTGTAGTATATGTAATGAAAAATATGCAATAAAAATTTATCCAGAACTTTAATTTTTTATTCCACAAGTCTTGTACTTCTTGTACCTTAATGATCCTAATTTATCGGGACTTTTAGTTTCTTATTCCAATAGTCTTATACTACTTCTTGTTGAATTTGATCATCCCCTGCTAAATTTTTTTTAAATCTCACGGGCTCATTTCATGGTGTTTTTCAAAATTCACTACATATTAATATGATAGTAGAATACAGATATAGTAATTTCCAGTAGTTATTACATTCTCTTTTGTGACAGATTCTCCCCTTCCCTCCTTGGCTAGAGAAGGGCTGTGGATTTGTTTATTTCAACTAAATCAAATTTTTCCTTCCAGACTACAGTAGAGTTTCAATTATACATGATTATCTGTAATCTACACTTAATTTTGGATCTAAATAAAAATTTTTATTTTTAGAAAGATAAATTTAACAGTTAACATTTTCCTTAAATATGTACATGCAAACAATCTTTTTAATAAAAATATATTATATTTATAACATATTTTGATTAAAAGAAAGACTCAATTTTATTGTTGAAACTGTTTATCATTTTCTGCATCCTACAGAATGTAATAGTAAAATAAGCATAGGAATTTAATTTATGGAAAATCTGTGTTTTTGCTAAGGATTTATTATTTTCTCACATTTAAGAGTATAAAAATTACTTTAGAAGTAATTTCTTAATTAATATACAAATTATTAGTCTTTTTTTAATACAAAAAGGCTTATTTTCCCGAAAAATTTCGCCATTTTCTCTCTCCACTACATGTTCCTCATTATTGATAGCTTTTTAATTTGTAAATATATTTTAAAAATATAAATAATTTTGTATTCAATAAATTTCAAGTAAATAATTATTAAGGTATCAGAGTGTTTTAGTCAACTATTCATGGCCAAACAATCCAGATTTATTGTAAAAATTAGAAACGTAAAAAATGTAGACAAAACTCAGAAGGCTACGACTCAATCTATGAAATTCATCAAGATCACATTGTATTATTCCTAATTCAAATCAATAATTTAGATAAAAGAAAGTTCACTATTTGATGATTTAATTTTATCCTCTAGAAGTCTCATGATAAGATGATACCCACTGAGTATTGGAATGTGCAAGAACGATTCTCCCCATTTAAAATTTAAAATGGCTTTAGTCAGTCATCCTTCAGTGGAAAAGAGATAGTTATGGTTAACTTATTTATCTTGAAATTAATCCTTATACAATTTAATTTTTCCATAAAAAGAGCTTGGTAGAATTATGTTCTGTAATAAATATGTTCTATGCAATTCATAGCAGTCTCTACCATTTCCTGGAATTCTGCAAACTCCACATGTATGCAACAAAACATTTCAACTTCTATGGTGTAAATTAATTTTGACTGTTTGTTCTCAACATCGGCTACTACCCGCACAAATTATGCCCAATTGATCGCATAGCTATTGCCTTTAGTACTTCTTAAGTACTAATACATAAGACTCAAAGATCCAATCTAACAAATTCTATAAGCCATAATTTAAGAGTAAACGAAACCACAAACTTACGAGCATTGGACCTAAAGTTAAACAAATTAAAACCCTTGTCAACTAGTAACAACAGCTGCTTACTGGTACACTGGAATTAAGACACAATTACAACAAATCCTATGCAGACCTATACCAAAATTTTGGTTAGCAAAAGAAAACTAATAATTGTTTAACACTTGCGAGCATCATCATACCTTCAATATCTCTATCACTGGCTCTATGAGCAGCTTCCACATTAAAAAAGAAAAATCATAAAGCAAGCTCCAGTTAAGTACTATTACAACTGCATTTTGGTTTCAGACTGTGCCACTTGTCATAAAGTTTGCATAAAACATCTGGTCTGAGCAAGTATCATCACAAGAAAGGAAATATAGGGTGGAAATTAACATGAAAGTTAACTATTAGTAAAACTTAAACCATGAATGTTCCTAGGCATGGCTTTGTAGCAGACACCTTCATAGTAAGATCTTTGAGCAAGGAAAAAAATCTTTCTCTGCTTGTATTTGTTCCTTCCCTGCTTCTCCTGGACTGCCTGGGAATTTTCCTCAGACAATTGTTGACCGAGAGGAAGCTGAACATTTTTTTTTTTTTTTTAATTTATTCAACTGCTTTCTTGAAGTATAGCATTTTACATGCAACATAAATCAGAAATTAATGTAGCATGGAAGACTTCCAATTAATGATAATAAGCTTTTTTAACAGAATATATTATGCATAACATCATTCTGCAGTAAAATATTCCTTGTGAAACTGATTAGTATTCTGCACAATTAAAACATCATTTGGGCTTATACAAATCTATTACTTAATTACCCAAGTACCGTAATATTTAGTCTAAGAAAGTAAAGTTTAAATAAAATTAAAAGATTGCGTTAAAACTGTTTTATCCTCATACTCTTCCCCATGTAAAATAAGAAGGTAAATTTGTTGTACTCATGTTTGTTAAAATGAGAAGTTTTTCAGTCAAAAAAAAAATTATTAGTATGCTTAAAAGGTAGACTTGAATTGTTAGCAGTTTTTACACATACAAAAATATGCAAAAAGGGAAAAATTTATTGAAAATGTAGTAAAAACGTATTTGAAAGCCAATTTTTTACTTCGCAAATTAGAGCACATGATTAGTTAGTAAAATAGGTACCTGGTTTAGACAATCTTCCTCCCACAGATACTCTGTGATGTAAATTTGCACACACTCCAAGAAAGAAGCAATAAAAGCACCACTAAAAAAATAAGCAGTCACGGCCAATGCAACATAGGATTGTTTCTTTTTCATAATATTGCAATACTTAATTTGATTACAGAAACAGTGAATTGTTTTTCTTTTATTTATTTATTATTGTTTATTTTTTTTTCACATATAAATCTGAAATTTTCATTTCATACTTTTTATTTTTCTGAAATTTCTTTTTTTTAATGTCAAAATTATGTATCATTAATTTTTCCTAATATTTTTATACTATAATAAAATATTGTATTTAATTATGCAGCTTGCCTTTCATTATAATCAAAAATATCTGTGCATTTTAATTTATTAAAATTTATACTAAAATGTATTGGGGTCTTATTTTTTAATAAATACAGTATTTAACTTTAAAACTACAGTTTCTAAATGATATTAAATTAGAAAATTTGCTAGTTCACTATGTACTAAATTTAAAAAATGTCTAATAATTCAAATATTCTGTGAATGAGATAAGCAAAATAGAAAATAACCCATTTTATTAAGTGTATGAGAGTGCACACAGTATTAAGCAATAATTTTCACACATGTTCCATTAGTATTTTTACTAAAGAAATGTAAATTGTATTCATAATAGCACTTTTAAAATTCCCCCAAAATTAAAAGAATGAGCAGGTTACACATACATATGGTGAAATATAATCATGCACTAGTATTGCAAATTTTTCATAATTTTTATGAAAGTTGTCCTAGTTCTGTGATCTTAAGCAAAAAATTGAATTTTGTATAAATTTTGTAAAGATGTGACAATTTTTGCAATTTGTTGCCAAATATGTATTATTTTAAACATGTTTTATTGATATATTTGAAATGCCACTTGAATTCATGTCTCTGTTGTGCATCGCTAGATTTGGCAACTTTTCAGGTTTTAAAAAATTTAAAGCCAGTGTGGCTATGAATTTTGATATCACGATTTGTAGATTTCATGATGATTTCTTTAATAAACAAAAAATTTAGTACAATATCATTAAAATAACAATACATTAAAACTGCTAGGGAAATAATGAAAATTAAACATTGTTATCTTTCACATAACTTACATTTCATATTTGATAATTTTCGAATATCACATTAGTTAAATTTATAATAAGATAATAAATACTGTGTAGAAAAATTTTCAACATATTAAAATTTGTTTATCAAAATTAATTTCATTTATTTAATATCTTATTTTTTTATGATAAATATTTTTGAGTTATGAAACATTCAATGTATGTCAATTCTTTCTGTTAAATTTCATTTTACCTCTTTTTTTTTTTTTTTTTTTTTTTTTTCTGAATATCTTAAAAAATTATTTTTACTCCCATGATATCAGTAGGTATGTAATTCAGTATTAGAATTAAATTTTTAATGCATGTTATGTTGATTTACTTTTGCTATTTAATATTCTTTTAAGGCAAAATATGTAAACACTCAGAATTTTTTTAAAGAGGGGAAAAACCCTCATTTGAATTCCCCCCTTTTTTTTAACTTGAAGATGTACATATATTTGCTATCATTATATTCATCACAGATGCTAAATACAGTTTATTTACCATAAGTTTGGAACTGTGTTTTTGTTAATAGTTATTAATATAATCCATATATATATATATATAATATATATATATAATTAAGTAGTATATAAGAAAGAAAAACTGACAGCATATGGATTACAATAATATGAAACATAAAAACCATATAAGAGAGAACATAACATTTTATATTATCTGAACAATTGATCACGACTAGTATACAGATTTAACAAACATTTATCTATTCTTACTATTACTAAGACCTCCATATCTTTTCATATTACAGTGATATACTTCAGGAAGTATGCCTTTCAATGTATAAAATCAAAATACTAGAATAAACATAACTCTTTGGATCAAATGTATCAACTATGCATATTTGAATGATTTTCAATAGATTTATCATTACATGCTACAGAATTTATAAATTATATCAGAGACGTGCGAGTGAACGCTTGCAGTATTGTGACAATCATGAGAAATGATTATTAGTTAATAAATCACATGGATGTAAGTTTTTAACAAACCTAGTACAGAAGAACAAGTTCCTATAGAAATAATTCACAAAAACAAAATTTTGAAACTTATGACTTTTTAAAATTTTATATATTTGATAGTTCTGCACTAGGTTAAAACAGACATAATAAATAATAAACTTATAAACAAACCAGTATTCAAAATAAATGCCTTTGCACAAACTCCAATATAATATGTAGTAAGGATTATAATTCATAAAATTTCC